ATTTCCCCAGTCCTATTTTGAGTCCAACCTGAGATACTCTCTTCCGATACTATATTTGCCAATATTCTGGTGCTATTCACAATGTTTCTGTATTTAATATTCTAGTGCTATCTGACAGCGTTCCACAGCTATTCATAAGATCTTCAGTTGCTAAACATTTGGAAGTAGTCTGCCTCTATTTCTTTCTAACCTACCTTTGTCTGGAAGCTCAGTTGTAACCTGTTCACCATGGGTGACACTGCTAGTATTCAAAATACTGGTGGCACAGCTTCTGTCATCACAATACCACAGAAGCCTCCACAGTACAACAAACTGACAGATGAGTGTTGGAAGTCTGGCAATACATGCTGTTATTCTGTTAACAATTTCACTTCCTAAGTAGAAATCCTTCTTCTGTAGTCATTCATGAAACCATATTTACAATCTTCTTGTTGGCATGAAAACCTGGATATTCTTTCTTAACTTCAAACTAAACCTCAACCCTAAATTAAAACACTTTCTTCTACCAAATAATTTCTGTTTTTGACTTTCCAGGTTTTGTTAAATTTCTCTCCAAGTTACTAGCTTTGTGATCATGGTGTCATCATTGACTCTTTCCTTTTCTTTTCACCCAGCAATGATTAGTTCCTGTTGATTATTTTTTTGGGCATGTCATCTGAATTTCTGCTTTTATTTCTGTCTTTAATACTACTGCCTGAAGACTGTCTAGACTATTTTAATACGCTTTCAAATGGTGTTCCTGCTGCCAGTGTCTCACTGATCTTGTCGATTCTACACACAATGACCTGACTGTGTCAGAATACCACTATAATGACAACACTTGATTTTGCCTGCAAGGTTAAGCCCAAAGTTGTTAGACTTGATATTCAATGGTTTTAATTGTTGCTTTCCAACCTGTATTCACTTACTGTCCTTCCAGAAACCTCTGTCCCAGCCAAGCATGCCTGCTCAACTTTATTGAAATGATTTGAACCTCTGAACATATGTAATTTTTCTTTTTTTGCCTCAAGCTGCTCTTTTTGACCATACTGAAGTATCACTTTTTCTATGAAACCTTATAAATTTATCAAACTACCATTTTTTTTTTTTTTTT